TGGGAATCTGGAAGGTACTTGTGGAAGGCGTAGGCATGATGTTGTGTGATAGGGATGGAATAAAGCGGAAGGCAGGATGACTATTGGCGATGAGTCTAATTCTTTTAGATGGAAACCCACTGCCATAAAGTTGATTCCAACTCACAGCAACCCTAGAGGGAAATGGCGAGCAGCTCCTTGGGGTTTTCGATTCTCTGAAATGTATGGAAATGCACAGACTCCTATTTCCTCTATGGAGCAGTGGCTGGTTTTAAGCACAGATCTGTGGTTAGCGCCCAAGGCTTAGCTCGCGGCACCCACCAGGACCCCTTCTAACGGAACTAGAGACCTACAATTTTTTACTCTTAGGGATTTTAAACTGGAATTTCTGAAAGCTAGTCTAATCTCCTTGGCAGTACATCACATCAATAAGAACAGAACAATGAAAGTCATGGATGTTTGTCTTTGTATAACTATAGACTATACCTGAATATCCTATATGATATTTAAGTATATAATATGTGACTATAATCTATATTCTGTGAGCGTTATTCTATTGAGAAACTTAAACACAAATTATCATAAAAATATGAATGTGTAACTATGGTTATGAAAATACATAAGCTCTAAATAGAGTCAGCTGTTTGGGTTTTCTCTGTAGGGCTGCATTTTTTCCTGTGGGAAAAAGTGATTTTTGTCTCCTATGCTCTTTAATTTTGTTCAGTCCATTGGGCCGTCCTTTATATATGGAGAGAAGAAGCAAGGGAACGAGTTGCAATCGTATATCTAGCCATCCCAAGCCTTTGTGGAAAAGTAAGCTATCACTTGTCTTCTTCGTCTGCTAGTCCGTCTTACTGTGATAGCTTGTGTGTGATTGTGCTGCTGGTCGCTACATCACTGGTCCCGTATTTCACATGCCATATTTCACTGGTATTTCACAGTATCAACATGATGAGACAGGTTTTAGTGGATCTTCCAGACTACGGCAGACTATTGTTAAGAGCATCGTGGCCTACTCCTAAGAAACTACTACTACCGCAACAGCAAAAACTAGCAAGTGAAAACACGATGAGAAGTGGGACATTGTTGATATTGTGCTGGAAGCCGAACCTCTCAGGTCGGAAGGTATTCAAAATCTGACAACTGGGGAAGTGTTACCTCACCAGAGTAGAAAAAAAATAAATAAACCAACAACAAAAAACGTATTGCCATCAAACCAAGTTCAACTTATAGTGATTCTATAGAACAGGATAGAACTGCTTCTTTGTGCTTTGAAGGCTGTAAATCTTTACAGGAACAGAAAAACTCCTCCTTGTCCTGGTGAGCCAACCTTAACGACATGGATGTGGTAAATGTTTTGAGACCTTCAGCTGCTTAAAATGTGACGTAATATCTGCAAACATCTAATATTAATCAGAATATAGGATATAAAAATATGAATGTAGGAAATATGAAAGTTGTTAAAAATGAAGTGGGATGCATAGAGATCAATCTCAAAAGCATGAGTGAGCTGAGCTGGGCTGCTATTGGCATGTGTTTAGTTGGCCAACCAGATCTTTTAATCTGCCAGGAAAGACATATTCAGAAGGAATGTTATGACATTTTATCACATTCATCATCAAAAAGAACATCTCAAATCTATCCAGAAGTACAATGTTGACAGTGATAACATAATATCCACATACTTACAATGAAAAGCAGTTACACAACTATTATTCAAACGTATGCACCAACCACTGAAGCTAGAAGGATCAATGAAAGATTTCTACCAAATTCTGAAGTCTAAAATTGATCAGATAACAATGAAGACACACTGTTAATTAGTGGTGATTAGAATCCAAAGGTTGAAAACAAGGATTACTGTTTTGGCCTTGATGATAGATAAAACACCAGAGATTGCATGATAGAATTTTGCAATACTAATAATTTATTCACGGAAATATATTTTTTGAGCATGATAAATGATTGTTATAGCATGAACTTTGTCAGATGGAAAACAAAGGATTCAAATTATATAACTCCATTGGTAGCAAGAGACAATGCAGAATCAGAACGTCACCAAGGACCATCTATAGAACAGACAATCTATTGCTCATATGCAAGTTCAAGTTGAATCTAAAAAAAAAATTTTAATCCACTGGAGCCAAAATATGACCTTGCATATATCCCACCTGAAATTAGGGTCCATCTCAAGAATGGTTTCAACACCGTAAACACTAATGGCCAGATGAGTTGTGGGGTGTCATAAAGAATAACATATGTGGAGAAAGCAAGAGGTCATTTAAAACAGGAAATAATAATAAAGAAAAAGACAATCTTGGATAGGAGAAGAGACCCTGAAATTTGCTCTAAAAAGAAGATACACTAAGAGGCGGTGAAAGAAATGAGGATCTAAAGAGCTGACTAGGAAGACGACTCCAAAAAGGCAAAGTAAAATATTCAAATGAAATGTATGAAGTCCTGGAGCTGGAACCAAAGGGAAGGACACGCTCAGCACATCTCAGGCTAAAGGAGCTGAAGAAAAGAAAATCAAGCCTCCTGTTGTAATATTGAAGGATTCTACGGTGAGAGTTTGTAGCGTGCACTTTGGACGGAACCAGCAGGGAAGACTAGTCCCTGGAGAAGGGCATCGTGCTTGGTAAGGGAGTCGGCAAGTGAAAAAGGGGGGAAACTATTAAGGAGATGGATTGACACAGGGACTGCCAACAATGGGCTCACTACGAAAAGCATTGTTAAGATGGAGCAAAAGCAGACAGTGTTTGATTCTGTTGTGCATGAGCTGCTATGAGTCAACGGCATCAATCAACAATCTGGGGAAATAGCGAATGATGCGGGAAGTGTCCAAAGAAGATGGAAATGATGCACAGGGTTAGGATACCTAAAATAGCTGACCAACAAGTGAACCTGTCAGGAGAGAGCGCTGGGTCAAAGCCAGTGGTGATGGAGGGAGAAGTCCCCGATGCTCTGAAGGCACAAGGCTCTGGAGAATGAAGAAAGGTTTCAATAAATGGATGCCACCACCACCGCTGATGCTTACCAGTCTAGACCAAGAAAACCGGAAGATGGCTAACAGGCCCGCCAACTGGCAGAGGGGCATATTTGTACCCATTCCGCAAAAGGCCATCCCATAGAATGCAGAAATGATGTGCATATGTTCACAGGCAAGTCAAATTTTGCTTACTTTGGGTTATTAAAGAACAGTTGTAGCAGTACATAAACAGGGAATTACCAAAAACTCAAGCCAGATTCAAGATTTTGTGGAATGAAAACTTTCACTGCTGATGTCTGATAGATCATGGCAGTCAGCAAGGAACTTCAGAAAGATGTTTATTTATGCTTCGCTTACCATGCAAATGCATCATCTGACTGTATGGATTATGGAAAACTATGGAAATATTGTGAAGAACGGGAATTACAAAACACCTGATTATGCTCAAGTGGAACCTGTACATAAACCAAAAGACAGTCTTCTGACCAGAACAAGGAGATGATGCCTAGTTTAAAATCAGGAAAGATGTGCCTGGGTTTGTATTCACTCCCCATATTCATGAACTCTGTGTACTCCGCAGGTAATCTGAGAAACTGGACTCCATGACGAAGAATCCAGCATCAGATTGGAGGGAGGCTCACCGACCTGCAATATGTAAAAGACGCTAGCTACCTTGCTTGCTGAAATCAAGGAGGACTTGAAGTACGGCCTGATGAAGATAAAAGACAGATTACATCTCAACACAAACATCCTCACTGCTAGGCTAATAAGTAGCATCATGTTAAATGGAGACGAGATTGAAATTGTCAAGGATTTCAGTTTATTTGGATGCACAATCAATGACCTTGGAAGCAGCAATCAAGAACTCAAAGAGCTTCTTACACTGGGCAAAACGACTGCAAAACACTTCTTTTAAAATGTTGGAAAGCAAAGAGTTGAATGAAAAGTTGATTTCTTTGTAAATCCTCACCCAATTCACAATAAAGTTAAATAAATAAATAAAAGAGCAAAGATGTTTCATTGAAGACTAAAGTGAGCCTGACCCAAGCCAATGCCTTTTCAATTGCTTCTTTGTATTTGAAAATGACACAATGAATTAGGAAGATTGGAGAGGAACTGATGGATGCATTTGGATTATGGCATTGGCAAAGACTACTGAAAGTACCATGGACTTCCAGGGTCATAGCAAGATCTGCCTCGGTAGAAATAGAGTCAGAACCCTCAGGCTGGCTAACCGTGGTCTCACGTACTATGGGCATGCCATCAGCAGGGGCCGGTCTCTGGAACACAACGTCATGCTTGGTAAAAGAGAAGGTAAATGAAAAAGAGGGTACCCCTCATGTGATGGATTGACACAATGACTACACAGTTAACTCAAGCATAACACTTGTGAGTGTGGTGCAGGGCCTGGCAGTGTTCCATTCTGTGCTGCTGAGTTGGAACTGATTGGACGGCGATGAATATCAACGACAGCAACATGGAGGGATTTCCAGTAGACCCAGTGCACACTGCTGGCAGTCACCGGCGCACATTGGTTAAGGAAAGGCCAAGAATACTGTTTTCTTGAACAAACTTCAGTTGTAGAAAATCAGCCAGCTAATCCTAGAGCATGGAATTTAAACTTGGAGAATATTTTTTGTCACCGAAGTATGCGTCTGAATTAAATACCATGCAAGAGTTGATGGTGACCCTGGATGCGTATTATTAATTTCGCTTTATAGCCTATGTATTTTTTAAATTCTAATTTATAAGTACCGCTTCACACTATGAATTTAGTTTTTTTTATTCAGAATCAACACTCTACATAACCAATAACATAAGCCTTTGCTAAAGCATCTAGTTCGAAAGGGTCAGTTGTAGTAAAAAATATTCCTAGTGAATAAAAAAGAAAGTGGCTAAAGTACCAAGAACAAAAGAACCATCTTCCCATTTTAATTTGAAAACCATTTTAGTGACCGACCCAGATTACATGTACATGCTAAGTCAAAAAAACTGACCCTCCCATGGAATGAAATCTAATGAAATCAGATACCTGTGAAGCTTGAGAGTGACAGTCCCATAAACAGTAGCAAAACCCAGAAGACGAACCCATCTTAGGAGAATACAGCGAAATGTGCTCGGTTCAAAGTACAAAATAACAACCTGTGGGACGAGAAGAAAAAGACAGAGACCTTCAGTATCAACTGGTGACCTGGAGACTAAAATCAATGTTGCACAATTTGATGTTTTACACACAGGGATTTTGATATAAGCACACACACACACACACACATCTGAACAATGTCAAATGGTGTGTGTTAGGCCGCGTTGACTGAACAAGCAAATCCAGTGACACTCATGTATGTGTAAGAAGGAGTTTTATATCAAGAAGTAATTATATCAAGCAAACATCCCAGTCCAGTCCAGATCAAGTCCATAAATCCCTCTTCAGACTCACGCAGCCAAATGCAGTGATACAGAATGCAGGAAGATCCCAGGCCAGTGCGTGAAAAGTTTTGTGGATCCAATGGCTGTGAAAGCATCACTAGGAGGCTCCTCAGCTGTGACCTAATTGACAGACTGGACTTGACCCCTACACTTTCATATCTTCAAGTTGACACGAAATTAAGTAACTACGATATGGTGTATGTTTAAATTAGGCATTCCCCAAATGGAGAAGCAGAGATTAAACCTATCAATAAGTTTTTTAAATCCCACTTTTAGGAGGTTCTAGCAATTGTGTCTTAGTCTTTGTTATCTCCAAACGTACCCCTCTGTACTTCCCACTTGGCCCATGCAGACCAGGTCCACTGCCAGATCCTACTCAAGCCTTGCCCATTCCCATGGATGCACTTCCGACAACACCTTTCTCTGGTCAAAAATAGCCTTGGCAAGATTACCTGTACTTTACTCACAAATCATCTACTACTCCATAGTTACGACTTAACTTAGGGATTAGCTTAATCACCCCATGCATAAAGAAAATGTTGAATTTTATCACGGGCCAAGCTTTGTGGTAGGTGCTAGGGATTCAAAAACCAATAAGAGACCAAGTCACCACCCTCAAGGGCCTCACAGGATAGCTCTGAAGATAAACACCTAAGCAAGAAACTGCATTCAAGAAAGCAAACTGTATACATGGCGTGGCAAGCACCTGGTCAGGATCAGTGCCGCCATCAGTGAACAAGTGATTGAATCCTGGGGGGATGATTCAAAGTTACGTGCAAAGTACGGTAACACTCTTCACGTGCTTCTTTGATTTCGAACAAACGCTTGAAGACTAAGACTTGCATCGTCCCGGGCTTAAGGAGCCTGTGTAGTTTCAAAGAGTGAATGCAGTTGGGGAGCACAGACTTCCAGTTTGCCGCAACAGCTGATGGACTCTTCGGCATGTGCTGAAGATCCATCCATTGCCAAAGGGCTGAGTGCTGCTTTGGATCTGTCCAGCCAGAGATGAGCACATGGAGACACATAAGTCACAACCGAGGGCGGGCGTGCTGCAGACACCGGCAGGCTCTGGCTGCTCTCTTACAAATGGGGCCTCTTTCTCCAGTAGTACAGAGAATGCCCTGGTGCTTAAGTCTGCCCTGGGACTCCACAAATACTTCTACTAAACACACCAAAGTGTTGACTCTATTATCAAGGACAAATCCTCAAAGGGTAGGAAAAAGAATAGGGGAAAAAATGTCAAGGAGAAATGAAATTAAGTTAAAATCGTAGTATGGATCGAAATGAAATGACTCAAAGGGTAGGAAAAAGAATAGGGGAAAAAATGTCTAGGAGAAATGAAATTAAGTTAAAATTGTAGTACGGATCAAAATGAAATGACTTTGGTAAGTGGTCTTAAACTCAAACAAATTTCCACTGCTATTCTTTCACATGTATACTTCCTTTGATCTCCTGATTTGCTAAGTGTTTGCTGGGTACCCTTCGTCCTGGTATCTGCCGGTTACCGAGCTGGCTGCTAGTGGAGAGTTAGTGGATGGAAACCACTCGCTTCTCTGGATGGGAAAGACAAGGCAGTATGCTCTGTAAACCTTCCCTAAACCCAAACTCAGCGCCTTCGAGTTGCTGCGAAATGTCAATGAGGTCAAGAGACAGGACAGCAACAGCACAGAACTATATGGCAGGGCAGAACTGCCCCCTGTGAGTTTCTGAGACGGTCACTCTCTACGGAAGGAGGAAGCTCCGTCTTTCTCCCGCAGAGTGGCTGGTGGTTTCGAACTGTTGACCTGACACTTGCAGCCCAATGTATAATCACTACAGCACCGGGGTTCCTTCTGTAAAGTTTAAAGTCTTGGAAATCCTCTGGGAGAGTTCTCTGTCCTATAGGGGCACTATGAGTCAGAATCAACTCAACAGCAATGGTTTGGGCCCTTTCCTGTGTGTGTTTAGATATGTAACTAAAGGTTACTTTTGGAGAAAGATTGCTTGGATAAAGCCAAAATTTGATATTAAAAAAAAAACAACTTTCAAAAAATATCGATCTTCACAAAACAAGTTAAAATTCCATTAACTCACTTCTGCTTTAGACTCATCTTTGGCACAAGAGCGCAATGATAATTAGGAGTGCAGCAAAGCGCGCTCGATTGTTTGCTGAGGAGTTTGAGCTTAAGAAAAGAAGGAAAAGTTCAGTGGAGGAGACCAAATCAAAAAACCTCGATAGAAAATGAGCGGCTTCTGATGGCGGAGAAAACATGGCAGATTAGAAATGAGACAGAGACCTAAATTGACGTGACTCATTAGGACCCGAGAGGACGGAGTAGAAGTAGGTGTGCCGCCGGGTCGCGAAGTCCGAGCATCTATTCCTAGGCAGACTGCCACGTCTTTCCCCCAGACGTAGCTTAGCAGCCAGATGTTTTAACCACTGTGCCACCACCGCTCATAGGGAACAGATAGAATCACAGAGATTCCTACTAGAAATTGCCCTAGGTAGTTTTTGGCACAACAATGGCTTCTTGAAGTTGCAAACCCTGAGTTAGTGCAGTTGTAGATAGCACAGCCAACTCACCTGAATAAGCAAAAGTGTAAAAGCAATAATATATAAGTTTTCACACTTCTTGATTTATTTTTAAAGAAATAATGACTTGTGCTTTACACAATTGATGTGTGTATGGATTGTGATAAGAGTTGTATGAGCCCCTAATAAAAACGATTAAAAAAGAAATAATGACTCATGACCTATTGGATCATTACTAATAGACTTCAAACTTTTTAAATTCATGGATGAGAAAGATGGTTTGTTATAATACATGAATTGGTCAGAAATAAAGGATTGTCATGGAATGTAAGTTTAAACAGTAACAGAAAGTAAAATTTGAGTGACCACAATGCAACATCTTCCTAGAAACAGCTCAGTCCACAGTGATGGGACCTCCCCTTCTGGGATGTCTGCGGTCAGGCAGGGTGGTGGTGAGCCGTGAACCATTCCTGACTCTTGTCTTGATTCATGATGCCTTTCACTTCACCTTAACTTGCTGTGCTTCCCTTGCCCAATTTGTAAAATAGAGCAATAATACTTTCGCTTGGGGGCATTTTGAAGTTTAAATACAATAACTTTATAATGGGGTTTGTTAACACAGTTAAACAGATAGGTCCCTGGGGGTGCAAACAGTTGGCACCTGGCTGCTCAATGAGAAGTTGGCCATTTGAACCTACTCAGTAATTCTGCGGAAGAAAGGTCTGGTCACCTGCTTCCAGAAAGATCACAGCCCCTGGAGCTATTCTATTTTGTAATTCATGGGGTCACCTTCAGTTGGCATCAACTCCACAGCAATGCATAGCAATAATTGACTTATCTTTCTTCTGACAATTGCCATCACCGCAGTGTAGTGGCACCTCTCATCATTTCAATAGGATCTTTTCTGATCCCTAGGCACTCTGTTTGAAGTCTTTGCATTGTGTGTATGTGTGTTCTTTTACTCTCTTATAATTTGATCATCTATATAGTTGTCTCTTCAGGTCAAATGCAAAACTGGAGAAGATAGGCTGCTCTGTTTATGCCATAAACAATGTTTTGCACATAAAATACATGCATAGTAAATAATTTCTCAGTGACCTAGGTTTGCTAATTTAATAAAGAAACTATTATCTTCATAATAACGAACTACTTGATTTCATGTTAATGTTCATTAATTGTGATTCTAATTTACACAGTCAAAATTCATTTATCTATCCAAAGCAATAGGGGATTTGGAAGCTATAAAAATAAATCAGATGTGTATTAGGTCATTATGGGAAGCAGAGAATGGGAAGAGGGTGTACACAGATGAATCCTTTTTTTTTTTTTAATATTAAAATGCCTGGCAGGCTGGGCTTCTGGGGTGGAGGGAGACCCTCACTCTTGTGAGTTGGAGGTGAGTCCCAATCACATTCTCATAATTAATATTGTTCCCCACAATATCTTCCCATAATAGTGCTACCTTAAAATGACCTCTTACAAGCACATGGCTGGTTGCTGTGCAGCCGGGAGCTTTATCTATAGGAGCAGACCTGTGCTGTTGCTCTCGAGGCTCTGAGGACGGCCCCTCCCCATTTACCTGCCCTGGGCACTGCTGTTAGGTTACTCCTCCAATGAACTCAGGGACCTTTGGGGTTAGGGTACAGCCCACTTTGTTACCTATGTGGTTTCCTGTAATTAGAGGGGCTTGCACGCCCCCTGCGTGTATATAAGTCTCGGCTGGAAGTAAATTCTGTCTCTGCGCGGATCTGGCTTCTGACGCCGCGCTTCATCTTGTCTGAGGCCTCTGTAACTTTACCCCTCAATGACACAGCCGCCCCTTAGGCCCATTCAATTGTGGGGGCTGGTACCCCACACGTCATCAAAGAGATAGTCTGGATATGACGTGTAAGTAATCCCAATAAAGTTATAATCATGACTAATATTCCAGGTTAGCGGTTTGAAACCACCCGTTGCTCCAAGGGACACACAAGGCTTTCTACCCCTGTGAACAGTTCCAGTCTCAGCCCACAGAGAGTTGCTATCGGTCACAATTGATTCTATGGCCATCGGTTCAGTTTTTCTGAGTTTCTCCTACATACTAAGAATTTCTGATCGAGCTGTGGGATAAATATTGAACTGCTAATTTAAAACTTGGTGCTTGGAATGCATCAGTCACTCATGGGAGAAACATGAGGCTGTTGAGGATTCTGAAAACGATATA